GCAGGCTCCGAGAGGGTGTTTTGCCTGTGCGGCGGCCCCGGGCAGGCCCTCAGCTCCCACAGTGAAAGCACAGCGTGAGACTCGTGCCCTGCACACCAAGGAACCAGAGCTGGAAATGCAGGCGGGCCTGAAGGTAAATAAGCTGAAGGGTGGTGATGAAACCCCAGCACTGAGCCAGCTGCTGTGCCGCGGCACAGAAGGCAAAGCAAAGGTGAAGCGTTTCCTCTCTTGTGTTACAGATTTTTTTACTGATCCTATACGAAAAATGGCAGAGGGATTTTGACGTAACAAAAGGAAATGTAAAACTTAATACTGTCTGTTGAAATAAAATTCAGCACCTATAAAGGCAGAATTATGAATGTGCAAACACAGCTTCAGTGTTCAGAGCTAGGGAGTCTAGCAGCACAATGAGCTGTTTGCATACTGGGTAGTGCAATGAACTACATTGTTCTTAGAGACCCTGAGTCTTTCAACTACTTTGAACAGAATGGAATCCTTACTGGAAAGGTTCTAAAAGCGTTCAAGATGTAATATCCAGAATTACTAGGTGTTCATCTATAACCTGACAGTTTCTCTGTGCAAAACTGTGCTCTCTGTGTTACAGAGAGGAAAAATCCAAAATGGGACCTTTGCTGTGACCTGTGGAAACGCCCTAAGTTAAATCAGGAACCACAAACTATACACCCTGCAAGCAGTTATTGGTGAAAAGATAATATACTTCAAGCAGGATCACGTATTACTTCTGTCTTAACATCAAACTTTATTCTCAGTTTAAATACATTCAGAAGTAAAAAGGATAAATAACTTAATAAAAACATAATGGAGCAAAAACTGCAGTGTTTCATCTGCATTAATGCTCCCTCCTACAGGCCAAGCCAATTTGATATGACTCAGCTTTACCTCCTATACAGGGATAATCTGCACCCACTTATTCCAGTTCACTTCAGAGGGGAACACTCTCCCCAGCCTGAGGGTACAGTCTATCGTGGGCTCGTAGTAGATCGTTGGGGTTTCACTCAGTTTGGGATTGCTGAGTTGTTCTTCCACAACTGGCTGAGAGAAGAGTGACACTGGGGATGGCTTTTTCAGGTAGAATCGTCTGATGCAACCCAGAGTTTCCAGACCCTGTGGAAAAATTCACATATTTTAGTGCGGGCAGTTGCAGTGGGGAAAAAAAAAATGCCCTGAATGCTGCTCTACCTATGGTGTTCTCAGAAATGCTGGGCAATTTATACCAAAAGTGGCTTCCCTTGAGCCCCTCAGGGGAAGTCTTGCTTACAGGAAGGGCTGCAGTGTCACTGCTGCACTTAAGATTTTGAATTCTTATAGGAAAAAAAAATTTAAGTCAAGATTTAATTTCCAAAGTAGCAGTGGTGGCAATCAAACTTCATGATGGGAAAAAAATACATAAGATAAACTCAAAATTTTCTTGCCATGTACTGTTTCACAGTTAAGGATGTGGGCCTTCAGGCAGGTGTGTCAGGACAGAAGGTCTCATTTACACACAGCACAGACACATCTCAGTCTGGTTCCTACTTCAAAGACTGCCCACCTAGAAGGTACATAAGGAAAAAAATTAGGAACACTGGGATTATCTACAGTGGTTGGGGGTTGGAACCAGATGATCTTTAAGGTCCCTTCCAACCCAAACCATTCTGTGATCCTGTGATTAACACTGCATTAAACAGCCACTTAGTATTTCACAGTGAGAAGCCCCCACTTGTCAGTAACCACCTAAAATTTCAACTCCCTGTACACCCATTTCAGGAGCAAGCTCAAATTTTGAACTCAGTAACAGGGTAACTCCAAGGATGGGTAAATCAGGCTCCCCTCCTTCCTCACTGTGAACACTGACTCGCTCTGGCTTCGGTTGATTAACACCAAAGGGAGAAGGTGGTTTTTCGTGGTTCATTCACATTCCTGTTTTCCTGGGACTCCCAGCAGTGGATCTGCTGGCTCTTGGTGTGGAAGCTGAGCTGGATTAAAGCTCCCAGAGAGGCTCAGGTACCTGCAGGATCTCCAGCACAGCCACGGGCTGCAGCACCCCACTGTAATGCTGCAGCAGCGCCGCCTCCGTCAGGCCCGGCTTTGTCATGACGTGATAGAGCACAGCCTCCATCATCCCCTTGCACACAGGCTTGTTCAGGTTCCCATCCACGATCCTCCACGGCCTCCCAATGAAGCAGACATCCTCACAGGCCCTGCAGAACACAATTAAAGCTCAGCTCTGTCAGGAGTTCATCTAGTTAAGATTTCCTATCAGAATTTCCGCATTACAGAGACTCTCACTCCAGCCACTGCAGTGTTTGCTCCCAGGTGTAAATCCTGTGGCTGCTCTGAGCAGGGCCTGGTGCTGATCCACCAGACAGCTCCAGACCTGCAGGATTTCACTAGGGGTTCACCACTTCTAGCACCATTACACAGCCAGCAGTTACCCTGAGTCTCTGACCAGGAAAGCTTTGTTTGGTATTGGCCCTAATATCCTCCAAAAGTTATCCAAGACCTGCTTCAATCTCTAATAGTGAAAGGAAAGAAAATCCTCATTTTCAGTAGCATTGTGGAGTCAAAAGACAGACCCCGCATGGAGATTCCCATTTCTCATATTGCAGTTTCTCCAGGCCTTTCCTGGGCACCTGAAAGTTGAGGCTATCTGGCACTGGACTTATTTATGAAGTAAAATCATTTTTTTCCTCTGATATTTGGAGCCAGTTGCTTTTGGAGTAAAAACATGTATCAGAGAAATTCTTCCAGCATACATATGAGCGTGAGTAACATGAACAAGGGAGGAAGACCTGGGGTTTCTCCATCATCAATTCTCACTGCCCACCAGAGCACAAAACTAAGGTTTCCAAATCAGCTGCTTCCAGTATTA